TATACACACACACACACACACATATTTTTATGGGTCTCTGCCAATACAGCTCACTTGTGTACTCTAGCAAGGCATAGATTTGTCTGTTACATACCCTGCAAGTAGAAGTGATAATGATTATACTGATAATAATGTTTTTTAAAAAGAATTAATGTGTTTCTGTTTTGAGAATGCTTAGTGCTTTTTACAGCGAAGGTTACATGAACCTACACACACTAATTCATGAATAGTAAAAAATGTGAGGCATGCTGTCAAAATGTCAAAAATTAGTTACTCCTCACCATCCAAGAATGCGAATATCTGAACAAACATGGTGGGTGCCAGAGAATGATAATTGCAATACCTGTAATGGGAGGATGGACAATCTGGGCTCTTTTGTGTGGGTTTGTTTTGTGTGTGCAAATTTTAACCCTGACTTCCTTCTAAGTCCTACTTGACAAAATTTTGTTGATAGCGCCACCACGTAACTGTCCTTACCCTGGCCTAAATTTTATCCTCAAATTTCTTTCTCTGACCCGTCGGTTATCTTGATCTGTGTTGTTCAGACATTCCACATGATATAATAGTGTCAGTGATGCTGTAACGTTCTCAGTTTTTGTGACCTCAAACCGCCGGGTCCTGTATGCAACCCAGACAGGACCAGAGCAGCCTGGTTCTTCTCTTCTCTCTTGATAATCTTAATAAATAGGTCATGAAATGTACGAAAGTATGTAGGTCACGTGATGTAGTGATTTATCCCTTCAGAGGTCGTTACACTTTGGCTCTTTTGTATCAAGCGACATTGCCTTTAGTGGATGCACCCTTTTCACCGAGTTACAGTTACAGGGTTGGTTTGTTGGCGGGTACTATTGTGTGGTTTGCTTCTTCTTTCCCATCAAACATCTATCGTCCTCATATCTCCCCCTCCTTTTTTGTGTTTGTTACTCCCTTGTTGTAACACCTCTAATCTTCGGCGCTTAAATGACCTTATTGTGTTGCAAGTGCCATAAAACACTTACTAAAACTAAAACTTTGTGGATGCACCCTTTTCACCGAGTTACAGTGACAGCTGGGTCACTGATTTGCAGCGGCATCAGGTTTCCAGCCAAAAGTTCTTTTATTGTTAATGAAAGGACAAAATGGGCGGGCAAAAATTCAGAACATTTTGTAGAAACAAACAAAACATGCCTCAAACAATTATGATTGGTCTGCCTTGTGAAAGGAGATTATTAAGTGAGAAAAGAACAAAAAGACATAGTAATCCTCGGCTTTCTCTGTTAGCCATTTATTCAACGAACAATCTGGACTAACATTCTATATGTTATTATAATCTTTTATTTGAACTGTGTGAGAAGGGCCGGCAAGCTGATAAAACTGATCAATGTCCGTGAGGATACTGTTGCTTTTCAACCCAACCTCACCCCCTGAATTTATGACTTGTAAGGAGTCAAAGCGCCCTCCTACCATCTGCCCCACGACTTTTACTCATGTTCTCTCCTACCTATTGACAGACAGCCCACAGTGGTATTGGATCTTGCCTGTTGGGCTCTTGTGAAGAGAGGGGGGGGGGGCATTGAGTTGCAATTCCCCTAGATGATGTAAGTTGTGTTGATGACATAGCTTAGAACATTAAGAATTAGGCCTATTGTGACATCTTCTGTTTCTGTTTGTGGGTGGTTGGCGGATGCTCTAGTGTGGTTTGCTCCTTCTTTCCTATCAAACATCTATTGTCCTTATCCCTCCTCCTTTTTTTGTTTGCTACTCTCTTGTAACAGCTCTATTCTTTGGCACTTGTATGACCTTTATTGTGTTGCAAGTGCCATAAAATGCTAACTGAAACAATTCTCAACCACACTCTCTTACCTCTTGATAGACAACACAATGGTATTGGTCTTGCCTGTTGGGCTCTTGTGAAAGGGGCAACATTGAGTTCCAAACCCCTTAGATGATCTAAGTTGTGTTGATGACATTACATAAAACATGAAAAATTAGGCCTATTGTAAATGTGATAAGTTTTAAATTTGTTGGACCATTGTGTGTAATCGTCATGGTTTGTTTCTGTTCCCCCACAGATGCTGATCCGCCTGTACGGAGGACGCAAACCTCTCCTCATGAGTTACCAGGCCTCTCTGCCCAAGCTGCCTGTCCCCGGACTCAGGGAATCTGTCAACAACGTGAGTTTGTTGCTGTTGCTGGTTTTTTTGTTCCTTGATTTTGTTTTCATACTGGTAGTAAAGTTTTAGTGTCATTTTGAAGCTGCCATTAAGCCAGTGGTTGCAATCGAATTGTAGATCTCTACTGCTTTTTAAAATGAGGTATGAGATTATGACAGATCAAATTCAGTGTCAATCTTTTCTATATCTAGCCTTTGTCATGTAAGATGAGGTTTTCTTCAGACCCTCAATCGCCCTCTCCTCGAAAGCACTATGTCACCGTCGTCCAAATGTAACGTTGATATTTTTTATCAGCTTATGAAATTCCCCATATACATCCTGTTAACTGATTTCGCTTGTTTTGGGTAGCTAAGAAAACAGTACTATTTTTTCCACCGTGTCTCACTGTCTCTTAATGTACACACCTGATTTCTGCTTCCAACACAAGTTTCCTCACGTTATCTCCCTTTATCTTTTCTCTGTCTCCCCACTCACGTGTCCAGTACCTTCACTCGATCCACCACCTCATGTCTGACGAGCGCTACGAGGAGATGAAGAAACTGTCTGAGGAGTTCTGCTCGGGCGTGGGCCACCGGCTACAGCGGTACCTCATCCTCAAGTCTTGGTGGGCCACCAATTATGTGAGTACTGGGAGACTGTTATCTCGTTTTGTTGTTGTTGTTGTGTGTGTGTGTGTGTGTGTGTGTGTGTGTGTGAGTGAGAGTGAGTGAGACAGTGAGAGAGAGAGAGTTCTACTCGGGCCTGGTTCACT